ATTTAAAAACTACAAAAAAAACACAAAGTTGAGTGAGCATATTTACCACGTCCGAGGCCGCTCAAGATGAATGCCGAGATGCCTATCTACGTTGTTAAACCGCTCTCTTTCAGGAATCTCGGGCGAAATAGTGCCCATTGCGTCCAAGCTTTTATCATCTTGTACTTAACTGTTGGACAGAGTAAACACTGCCATATCAAGTAGGTATACTCATATTTTATCATGTAGCTTTTGCAAGCTAATGCGGTATTCCTGATGCTTCTTCTGAGTTCCAACCCCTGGTACTGTTATGGGCTCAGTTGGAATGTCAATTGTGTTGTCGGTCGCTTCGATTTCCATTTCTTCATCGTGAAAAAAGCTTAAGCGCTACCTGGCGTTATTCTGAAATGTGCTTCCAGACATCTCCATTGATAATAGGTTTCTTCTTTACATTCCTGAAACGCTCAGTTGCACGACAAGGTGGACAGCATTCTGTGCCACGTATTCTTACTGCTATTGAATATTGTCGTTGTCGACTGCTATTGACTGTCATGGTCCTGACGTACCACGACAGTCCAGGGTCTTGCAGTCCTTGACGACATTGACAGTCAAGCTAATTCAATATGAGGGTGCGGCCTAATTTTTGTTACAGCTATATCAAGCGGGCCACGTTTTAGAGCATGGCTTCGCAGGCGAAAATGATTACCTCGTCTCAGGACTGAAACACACCTCCCATATGTTACTGAGAGCAAAATGATATTTGGAGACCAATTTGTCGCATTTCATTTGATGTATTTTTTGCTGTCATTTTATAACCGTGCATGCATGCTGCTGTGATTTATATCACCACGTGCATGTGTGATAGACAAATCGTCAATTTATGCATGATGCACATGCTACATGGAGGAGAAGACCACATGAACCTACGACGACGTGGAAGTACGTGACGTATTCTGCGCACTGCGTCGAGCGCGTTCGTCCATTCCCGTAAACATGTTAAAAACATTTAACCCATCGGTAGTTTTCTTCGGCATCAGCACCACGCTCGTCAGGAACCAATAATTGGTAACATTAGAACTGTGGTCGCGTTGATAACATGTGACTGTTGCTGAGGATGCTTACCGGTACAAACCCGTTCTGAAGCAGGATGTAAACAACCGCACCCAGCAGGCCTGGGCGCCGCATGATGGGTCTCAGATTGCTGCTACCACGGGCCACCGCAGCGCTGCAGAGCTCCCGTCCACACCTGCACTCTGACGTCACCAGATCTCAACGACGTCACTCGGGTGTTACCGGCGTCACTCAGTTTCCACTACCGCCAGAGCGGTCTGACCCGGAGCGCTCGGTGGGGGTGCGGCGACCCGACGGTGACCTGTGCGGTGTGCGGTGTGCGGCGGGCCGGCGCGGTCGCCGCTCTGTACCGGTCGCACTTGCCGGGCGGCGGCGCGCGCGCTGCATGGGTGCCGACACCGTTGGCCCGTTCCGGTTGCTCGGGCGGGCGACTGACCTCCGGCAGCAGCGCCGCCACCGCCGCCGCCAGCAGGGTGCAGCACCGGCCGCTGCCGCTGCCGCTGCGGCACGGGCCGGTCGGACTGGTCCTGCCCGAGGCCCGGCCAAATGGGTCCTGTCCGCTGCCCGGCCGTGCGGGGTGTGCCCGCTGTACGAGTGTAGCCGAACAATGCCTTCCTTCGAGCTACGATATGCCTTTTCCAAGGTGCTGTCTGTCAGAACCGGTCTCCGCCACTGACAGCTGTGCAGAAAAGTTCTCTCCACTGACAGACTACGCATGTTTTCCTCACTGCCCGGTCAAAGAGATACCCTTCGCTGTCCGGCCGGACAAGCATTACCCACTTCCCGGCGTTCGTTCCTGCTCACTGTCCGCCCAGACAGGTCTCAACCAGTGCCCGGCCGACGAGGTCTACCCATAGCCCAGCCAAAAAGCTGTCACCCAATGCCCGCTTAGATGGTCCCCGTTACACTCGTAGCCTGTGTTAGCCTAGAATAGCCTATAATAGCCTGCTAATACATGCGTAGAACGTGCACCAATCTGCGGGTAGAATGTGTTTAACACATCAAATCTTGATGCGTGTATAGTGCATATACTCTTCCGTTTTTTATCATCCCTATCAATGTCCTATCCCAGCCATCCGTGCACTGGGCAATACATGTCTTAAAGAGGATGTTTCACAGTTGTATATATAGAGCCAAACATTAGATATGATAGATAGGGCCACTTGTAACTGTTGATGATGTTAAGCTTGACCAGATTATTATCATTTTTGATAGTTGTTAGTATCATGTATCAGTATTATGCATGTATGCATTATATGTATATTTGTGTGCATATATGCATGCATATAAATAGGCTATTGATGATACAGATTGTTGAAGCTTTTATATATGCTTTTAAGCGCAAGCGACTGCCCTAGATAACCAAATTTCGTTATTTAGAATGCATGCTCCTTAAAACGTGGTCAGCTTATTACGTCATGAAACGTGCCTATGATGTCAGAGTCGCTGCCAGACTAGTCGTGTCAGAGTCGCCTTCGTAGCGGACGAGATGACTCACTTATAGTACTTTAATTCTCCGCAAGGCTGCATCTTAATTCATGTGTGTGACAAAACATTTAGTTTTAATGTGCGCGTGTTTTAGTCCCCCTTCGTGGCCCCCTTGTACATCTTTCCGGGGAAGCATGTTTTCATTTGCTTCCGCACTCTCGGTCACGGTGCTCTTCTTACCATATTTGCTTCCCATCCTCCTGTCCGTCATAAGTGGTAGAACTGTTCAAATGTCTACCCTATGCGTTACAAAACGCGGTTTGTGATCGAGACCTGCATTGAACGCGTTTGGTTGGTCGAAAAACGACCGCTGTCCGTTGACGCGGCGTTCGTGCTGACGTACCGCAGACACAAAAAATCAATGGTCATCTTTGTCTTGACCTTGGACACAATACGGCCATTGAAGAGGCGGAATTCGTGTGGTATTTCGATGTCATACATCTGAGGGTGACTTTGGGATAGGCGGTACGAAATAGTCTGCGTAAGTTCGCGTGTCCTGGCTCAGAAACGAGAGAGTTTAAAGTCTTAAGTCTTAGTCTATAGATATGGAAAAAGTGCGAAAGCACATAGTGAAAGGCCAATTACATATTGACTAGGCGACCGCATGCTTCGTTAACACTATCACATATATCACTGAGTGTGTGTTTTGTACTGTTCATGATTGTTAATCCTTTGAGCCATCGTTTTTTGTTTGTCTGACTCAAGACTCAGAAAAGACATCTTGTATGGAATTACCACATAATGTGCATAAATAAATAAATGAATAAAGCAGCCCTGATGAAAGACCAGCGGTGGTCCTGTAACGACCGCCGGCGTCTGTGGGTCCTCAGAGCCTCGTGCGAGCTGTCTCGCCAGAGGTCGCCGCGGTCAGCCGGGCACGCTGATGGGCTGCGGCCGCGGACCGAGGCCACCCAAGGTCAGGGGGTGGGCGTTTCGTCAGCAGCGCGCCGCGTCCGGGCGCTGCGGGGGCCCTATTGCGTGGCCCTGCTGCTGTCTGTGGACGCGGGTCGGAGAGAGGAGCGTCACGTGGCGCCAGCAACGTTGCGGTAGGGCGGGGGGCCGTCGTTTGGGATGCTGGCTTCCACTGACCGCGTCACCAGGGGAGGGCTGGGCCCGATCTTTGGCCCCTCTCATGGCGTCTCGAATTTTGGCGCTCGAGCTGGTTTGATGGTCACTACCGTGATGCTGCGCTACAGGCGTGAATGCGCGGCGTGGTGACGCGTTTCCATGTCCCTCTCCAGAGAACAGGAAACGAATGAAGGACATGCCACTCTCATGATTCCCGTCCAGCCGAGATCGCCGAAAGACTCTAAGTATGTCATGATCACTGGGCTTGAGAAGTATGACACCACACAAAGGCGACAGAAAAACGCGAGTTGCTGATTTGAGGTTTATTGGGGTTTTAACAAAAAGCCTCAGAAGTAACCACGATGCAAACCGCAAAGAAAAGCAAGCATCAAATGCGTAACATAATAATGGGTATTAGGATCTTGTCCATCCAACGATAACTTACTAAACTACCGCACGTAATTGAGTCTAGCGTCGCTGATAACTGGCCCTGGTATCGCCTCTAACGGTCTTGTACTCAAATTTGATCGAGTTAAAGCGCAATTCGCCGTCATTACCCGGAAGTAACGGTGCAGAGGTAGTACACAGTTCTGGATCGTAACACAACGTTTCGTTTCGCCGATAACACAATTTCCTACTAGTACCTGAAGCGAGCTCGAACAAACGTCTCAGGAATTTCTAACAGTCTTCTCAATGCGGCTCACGTCCGACGCTGCCCGGCTGGCGTGTTGATATGTTCAGCCGAGCTAGCAGCAAACCGCCGTCAGGCATAACACGGGTGAGGTCTCCAAGCTGCTGCTTCCTCCCGCAGCCACGTTCTCTCTGCAGATGTGGGTGTCACCAACTGCTGCGTCATCTAATTACCAGCGAAGCCTGCAAAACGGACAGTTCGTGAAACAGCTGCAGAAACGCCAGATCATTGGGCAATGCACTCGTGCGCACGGCTACATTCGGAAGATTACAGTAAAGCGCATTCTAACAAAGTGGTACGCAATTAAGATGCACTCGGCCATCCGTACTCAGAAGCGGTAGCTTCGCTCCACTCGTCCCATCACCCTGCCGCGCTCTGTGGACAGTTCTGAGCTGATCATACAGCGCAGCTGCTTGTGCGCTAATATGCAGCGTGCCTGTTTATCGTCTGAACACGTGTCTTTTCCATCCTGTCGCGCCTAGGCAATTCATTGATTTGTAACATGCATGACAAGGAAATTTGAGAAATTAATCAGCATAGAATCCTGACTTTACACAAATTTAAACGTTGGACAGAAAGAAGCGCAGGCTGCACCAGAGTGCGCGGTAATGCGGCAAAAGCGATAATCGTTGCAGTGAAGCGTGGCATAGGCAGATTTTCTCGCCTATCACTGTGGAGGAACAGTTCTACTTTTTATTTCGCTGCGACACGGCACGCTTTAAATTCTCTGCAATAAAAGAAGCGAGCCTCTTCGTTCCGCATCCGGTCATGAAGTTTCGCGTGCTACACCTCTATGCGCGGTAGCTCTGAAGCGTAGCCCATCAGTCACACCCACTTGCGCGGTAGTAGAGGTCGGCGTACTGCTGCTCGGGGTCGGAGTCGGAGTCGGAGTCTAACCCAGCGTCACCCCACCGCCGGCGGGAGCGGCCGGCGTCGCCCGGCTCCGAGCCGCCGGCGCGGCGCCGGCTCACGGCCGCGTCATTGAAGATGCTAGAGATGTCGGGAAACTGCGGCAGGGAACTGCCGAATGTGTCTCCGCCGCTGAAGAAGTCAGCGCCGAAGCCGTCGGGCGCCCGCGGCAGGTCGTCGCCAGAGGACACGGCGGGGCGGTCACTGACGCTCGGGGCCGGCGGGAACGGAGGGAAGGAGGGCTCTGTGGCGAAGGAGGGCTCCGCGGGGAAGGAAGGCTGCGCGGGTAAGTCGGGCTGCGCCGGCCGAGCGGACGGCGGCGAGGATGCAGGGCGGCGGGCGGCGGCCACCATGTTGAGCACCTCTTGCACACCGGCTGGAGAGATAACGGGCACAGCCTCGGTGCCGGGCACGGCCAGGAAGATGGGCGCCCGCGGGCGCTGGCGCTGCCCTGCCGGTGGCGGATGGGTCGGGTTACGTCACGTGGCGCCCGCTAAGGTGTGGCTTAAGGCTGAATCCCAGCGAAGTTCACAACGCAGCAGGCGGTGAGGCGCTCTCGCTATGGCGCTATTACTGAAGACCGTGGACATGCATGCAAACTGCGATAATAAGCGATGAAAAGCAAACCATGGTGAGAACAGAATTAAAATATCGGACTATGGTTACATCTAGAATAGGAGAATAACCTCAATGATGATCCCACAGCATAGGTTATAGCTATAGGTATAGTCAATTACGCATGCCTCCTGGGCTGCCTTCGGACACCACGGCGGCGTCAGCCTGCTTCCAAGGTACGCCAAGACGAGGGGGCTGACCGGAGGCCGGTGGACTGACCTGGCCGACGTGGGCGCTGTCGGCGACCTCTGACCCTCACGCGCATCCCCTCGACGGCCGTCACCAGCACGCAGAGGGCCAGCAGGCGCGCCACCTGGCGGTCAGAGGAGCGCTGTCTGTCATCCGACTGCCGGCCAGCGTGGCGGGGGGCCGTTGCCTCACACTTACGGGAGACTGTGCCGGCGTTACATGCGGAGGAGTGGTGCGACCAGTGCAGTCCTCGTATGGACGTCATCGATGGCTTAGACACGCATCAGAAAGACGGACTCTGAGGCAAGCCACGCGAGCTGAGCTCATGCGCCGAGCTCAGCTCGCGGCTATGCCATCTTAAGCCTAGTGTGGCTCACATCGGCTAGACGCCCTGCTCACCTGGAGTGCGAGATTCATCCTCGTCCCCCGTCACAGTCCTTCCGCTCTTCTCACCCCGCTCCCGTTCTTCTCACCCTGCTCCCGTTCGTCACTGCTCGCACTTCCGCGTGCGCCACCAGACAAGCTCGTCACTGGGCGCACTGGTCCTCCCTCTCTTATGTACTGTCCAGCGCTGTCCGAGAGCGAAAGTCCGCCCGAGGCGCGCTCCTCGACGGCAGATGGTCGGAGCTGGTTGGCGCCGGCGCTTCTACATGAGCGACTGCAGCCTCGTTCCGGCCGAGTAACCGCGTTTCACCGGCGTACGCCAGGCGCTGCGGTGAGCCGCGGCACCTCGCTGCTCCGGCACGCCCACCGCGCGGTCGGAACAGCCGCCGGCTGTGATTAATCGTCGCCGTTATCTCATCGCATTCGTCATGCTGCTTTTACCGCGACTAATTGCTCCGGACTGGCGTCCGCGGTGTGGTGCAAGGAAGTTGCACTTTTCACTGCATCGAACAAGCCTGTTGTTTACTCGGTGTTGCGTTCGACTGTGCTGCAAGGGACACCGAGCTGCGGCCAGCTGGCGCCTCCAGCATTCGTCCCTTTCATATGTGGTTGTCTGAAACAAACGATAGAAGCGCTCGTGAGACTTAAACAAGCAAGACAAGCCACGAGAGCTTTAAGGAGCTTTCGACTATTGCACCGTATTCGACGCGCGCGAGGAGGCCTACCGTCAGGGCCGTATTCACATGGCGACCTCCCGGACACGCCCCCCGTCAAGGTTATTGCATGCAGAGGCGGATTCAGAGGAGGGGGAGCACGGGACCATGCCCCCTTGGGATCCCAAGGGGCTCATAGCCGGTAGAGCAGACGCAGTTTTTTTAACGCAAACGCAACTAAGTTGGGCATGTTTTGGGCTTGCAGGCGACCAAAGACAGTCACCAGTAAAGGTGAAGGGCCCACGAGCAGACAAAATGATTGTTCACTGACCAAGAGGGTGGTAACTGTAAGATTCTAGGGCCCATTACATTACGGTGTCAGAGGCCCTTTACTGTTCCTGGGGTCCTACATGTCCACTAACAGGGTAAATCTGATCGCCAAGGAGTACTCCGCGTTGCCCCTGATTTCTTTACATTTGCTCGGGGGGGGGGGGCTTCGCGGTGTTTTCGGTGTCCCTTCTGCTGACATGCCCGGACACTCTTGTTGATAAGTCACGCTACAACCATACAGCATTAATCATTTTGCTAAATCAAACGCATTTCTCTGGGCCGTTGCCAGTACTATGTTCCTTGTCCGTGAAACTTGTCTGATGTGTTGCTCCCGACAATGGCTGGATTTATTTTTTTATTTCCAGTATTGGCGTGTAATCGTGAGTAAACAGCGCCGCCAGGGTGTTGAATTTTCTGTATCGTGTGCGGATGCCAGGATTTCAGTATGTTGTTTAAGCATTTGGCGTGTGGAACGTGGACCACGGTCTCGGTTTATATGATTTTTCGGCGCCCCTTCGGCTAGATACATAGTGAGCCGCCGTGACAGAGACGTAGTGAGCAAGTGACACAAATGTAGCATACAGAAAGAAACCTGCAATCTTCGCTAGGGTAACAAGTCGCACACTACCTTGGCACGCCTGTGGCCGCCTCCAGCTGTCTGGAGCTGAAAACCCATACTATTCGGTGGTCTTGCCACTTGCATATATATATATATATATATATATATATATATATATATATATATACATTGTACGTTGCTCATGCATGGATATTCTATGCATAGGTGCGTGAAAAAATGTGGCCTTTTCAAATTTGAGACACATATAAAGCCAAACAGATCAACAACATGTGATAATGTTTTACGGCAAGCAAATGCTGGGTTTCCAACGAAAACTATTCAGCTGTGCTTCCACCTCGCCCCATGCAGAATTCCTGGATATGCCACAGCCATCCATGGCTGTGGCAGATGCATTGTAAGTGTTGTTCCCCACATCCCTACAAGGGCTCTGTGCCCTGTCATTGTGGCCGCTGAGCGCCGCAGCTCTAGCTGCCGATGACCCGGGGGCGGCACGGCCGCGCCCGGGCCTCCGCCAGCCATTGGCCCCGGAGCCGAGCTGGAGCGCCGGCTCTCATACCGCCTTCGTTCAGCGCCACCAGCCAACCGTGGCCGCCGAACGGACATCAAACGACGACGCGGCGCGCGCAGCCGAGCCGGGGCGGCGCTGTGGTGTTTGGCCCGGGGGCCTGGAGCGTTTCGCAGCGGCGCGAGCGCTCTGGCGGCGAGGTATAGCTGTCACTGGACGCAATCAACACCGAGAGTGATGACAACACCGAAGTAGAAGTGTGGACAGATTGGTTCAAATGCTGCAAGTGGCGGGGAGGGAAAGCTGCCGGTCTTTCGCGTGGTAAATATAATTTCTACTTTTTGAACATTCCTCTATGTTGTCTTGGGGATAACCACAGGAGCCTGTGGCTGTTTTCACCCATGCGCTGTGTAGCTAAGTGGGCTGCAGTTTAATAAAGCATGAACCAAAGCACACCACACATTCTCATTCTAATCCGATGTGTATTCCCCTCGCGTTATGGGTGCTACCTTCTGACAAACATACAGTTGCCTTCGGAATTCAGGGGACCCTCGACTCCAAGACTGGCTGTTGTTGGCATTGCTTTCATGTAATACCACACACAGATTTCTCTCAGGAGGGCTGTCGGTTGACGGCCGTACTAAGTTTGGAGCCCGGATTACCGCCACGTATCATTCCTGAACGCATGACCGCAACACCTTCACCTGGACACGTTTCGCAAGCGTAAGAATCCGTACACAAACTCGTCCTTCGCAAACCTCACGGTGGTCGGAGTCCTCCGCGTCGCAATGCCTTCTCGCGAGTGATCGATGTGAGGGGTGTCGCAACAGACGGATTCTGCGCAGGGCATCGAGGCTCAATTATTCATAATGTGCGCCCAGGCTGCCTCCTTGGTTGTCTGGTGTGAGGTGACCTCCAGTCAGTCAGCGCGGCCTTGACCCTGTCCTTTCCGCCAGGGCTCGATGTGGCAACAATGGGACAGCTCACAAACGGGCACAGCGGTCTGGCCATCCTCCTCTGGAAGAGCCGGGCTTGGCAGTCACTTTGTTCTCTCCACAACATTTTGGAAGGGGAACAAAAGTATACAAATATATCTGAGCAGGATTTGAAGCATGAACACATACAATGATTATAAACTTTATTGGTTCGGAAAATGATAGGCTGTCGGCGATGGCATGCAAACAAACACGTTGATCACTAAACAACAAAGTCGGTGGAGCGGCTGTACCATCATGCTGCGTGAGACGAAATAGTTAAAATTGAATCGACTTGCAATTGTACAATCGAAGGGCTTGGTTCAGTCAAGAAAAGTGGAAAAGGCTCAGTTGCTTTTAGCGGCATTTAGGATGATAAAGCACGTCGTTAGCCTTCAGTGATAATTTCCTCGACAGTCAAAAATGAATAGCCGAAGCGATCATTACCGGCAAAAAGAAACTCAAGCAAGAATTACTAACAAATCCTTGCTGATCTCCAAGTCTGAGCAAACGAGCACCATCAGGCATCACAACGCTTAGGCAGCAGACGAGGCTGATGAGTCTGTGGAAACACCAAAATGGTTAGAAACGTTGCAGATTTTGCAAACATATATACATGTATATATATATATATATATATATATATATATATATATTTATATACCCAACACGAGCTATGCACATGTTTTGTGACTTCTGGACACTGAAATAACTAAACACCGCTTTTTTACCACATTCGATGCCCCGCGCACGCAACAGCCACCCTGTTTCTTCGACAAAGAGATGTTGCCTCGTGGTATTGCTTCTGAAGCCCAATACACTTAAATTCAAACATTACACCTACGGAGATGCCTTAAACAAAAGACATCTTCAAGTCTAAAATTGTCATCGGAGCCCTGCAATCATTTCTGGAAGGCAACGCCTCTATTAAATGAGCATGGGATTCGCTCGGCATGCCCCAGGTAAAGTACCCTCGGTGATCATTATACCGGATCCGAAAAACTTCGTTGAGCAGAGGTTTCTAGCACTGAGGAAATCAGGTTACCAAGGAGTGTGCTACGATGCTTTTTAGATGCAGTTTGCTGCGCTGGGGACAAACTTGAATGAATCGCGCCCCTGGCTGTGACGGAGAATCACGACCCAGGCTTTGTTGCGGACACGGACGGTAGCAGCCTGGCTGACAGCACATCTCGGGCCCACGAGCTTTCAGCCGTCAGGCGGCGTCTTCTGATCGTTTTACTGTGCGTGTAACTGATCGGAAATTAGGGTCGTAATCTCTGCCACGGATGGCAGCGGCGAAACCGAATGACAGCCGATTGTGCTCTTAACGGAGAAGATCGGATTCAGCGGAGTGCTTCGCCGATCCAATTCGGGGCCTGTCGTAGATGGGAGGTGCTCACCAGGAGGCGTTAAGCGTTAGCACAGCCGGAATCGCCAGTGGCGTTCCGCTTGACAGAGCACAGCCATCAGGGAGGTGTTATCAGCCGCTGCCTCGGAAACGGTCTGTCTGAGGCCAGTCGCGTCGCCATATCCCGAAAGCGGCTCCCATTTCCGGTGTTTTCACGCCACTGATAGAGCTAGAGCCAGGCCGAAAGTCTTGCGCGATGGCGAAGTGAATAGCCGTCGTCTGTTATAGCACACAGCATGACTTTATTTACAAAGCACGCGATAAATATCAACAGGGAACTGATCACAAACGGTGGTCGGACGACAGTCGCACACCTTTCACCCGAGTCCCGGCGGGCGGGACGGGCCTGCCTCGCTCCGAAGCCGCCCGCCAGCGCACGCACGCCACCCACGCGCCGCACCACGCCGACACCGCGGCCAGCTTAGTTGGACGGGTACTTAGGGGCGGGCTTGGGCGCCGGGTACTTGGGGGCGGGCGCGGGCGCCGGGTACTTGGGGGCAGGCGCGGGGTACGCGCCGTACTGCGGTGCCGGATACTTAGGCTCGTACTTGGGGTACTGGGCCTCTCCCTCGTACTGCACGTCGGCCACAAAGCCGGCGTCGCCCTCCGACTTGTAGGTGACGGTCTGGATGCGGCCGTCGGGCAGGGCCACGCGGTAGCTGCCCTGGGTCAGGTAGCCATCACGCGCCTCCTCCTGGCCGAAGTCGGCGCCGGTGTACTTGTCCTGGACCTCGTACCCATACGCGTACTTGGGCGGCACCTGAACCGATGACAGAACACGTCAGTACGGAAAAAGGCGGGGTCACTCGGCAGTTATGTCATAATTAAAAGGGCAATAGGGAGGAGCATGCGGCAATTAACAATAAGGGTATGGCACCAGGGAACCATTGATAAACGACAACCAGCATCGGTAATACCCGACCGGAAGTGCAGGTTGCATTCTTCGCATGCTACCCTGCACCGTTGGAATCCGCAAAAAAGGGATCAGTGCATGTGTATGGTCACGCAAGGTCCTCCAAATTTCAAGAGGTTGAGGAATATGTCAAATCATGTATGTCTCATATCGCTATAAGCCGAAAATTGCACAACATAATTCTAACACGTGCCGCGTGAGACAGTGACGCCAAAGTGCGACACGTTCGGAACAACACGCCAACGCCACGACAATTGTTCTGGCGCATTTGCGGCACCAGGAGCAGTGAACCAGCGCCTGGCGCGGCCAGGGCTCGGCCATCCCAGCGGCCGCTTACCGGCGGGTACTCCTCCACGGGCTTGTAGGGGGCGTACTTGGGGGCCGGGGTCGGGTAGGAGGGGGCCGGGGCCGGGTACCGCGAAGGCGGCGGGCTGTCGGCCGCCACCACGGCGACGACGGCGGCAATGATAAACACCTGCCGGCAAATTAAAGCACATGACCATCACATCGCCAGCAGTGCGCGGTATAGCACGTACTGACGGCGGACGAAGACACGCGGCAGCCAAATCACGCGATCCAGGAAGAAGGGCGCGTAGCTCGATGTCACTAGCTCACGGATGACTGGCAACGCATCACGAGCACCCGATCGGCGCATATCACTGCGGCGCCACTCCCACGCCACAGCAACCCGCCAGCCTACTGAGAGCGCCGAGCCCTAGACGCCGGCACTTCCCTACCTTCATAGTTCGTGTGGCGAGCGGACTGATGTCGTTTGCGTGCTCGGCCCGTTTATATACGGCACAATCACCAGGCGGGCCCGCGCCAGCCGCTCTCCGGTGGCCCGGCGAGGGCCCCGGGGCACGGGTCAAGATCCGACCTTGCCTCCTTGCGCCATCGCTCGCGACGCCCATGCACCGCAGAGGCGGCGGCGGCGCCTCTGATGAAACGAGGCCAGCGCAGCCCGCGCACCGCCCGGGGCGCTTCACCTCTGACCTCCGACAGTTTTTGTTAGGCTCTGGGATCCTCCGTTGCGGAGAGATGCCGTGTCCCCTCCCCCAGCGTGTGTCGTGCCAGGCCACGCGAGAGCGTGGCACGCTTCCACACGGAAAGACCACGCTAATGTTGTCGGACCATGGCGCAGGCGCAGAACGACAAGGCGAGTCCAGAACAAAGGCCTAGGCTGTAATGAATTGTTTTCCTCCTTCGCTTTCAGGGTGCAGCGTAAAGCTCAAGTCCTCCACGTCATTGTTGGATGAGCCAATTCAATTTTTTATTACGCGGGCCAATTATGGAGATTCTCGAAACTGTGCCAAGGCAACAAAATATTTAACATTAGTATAACGGCCCCCTGCCATCGCTGCGGTGATCAAATTGGTGGCAATTGGCCACAATTGGCCAAAGCGGGTGATCAGATGCCGTTGACATTGATTTTGAAACACGGTTGAGACCGTAAAAACGGTGCCTTTCAGTAGCAATCAATCACGTATAGCAAGCACCGTCAGCCCACTACTAGTTCGCCCGAAGGGAATACGTGCATATGCGTTTATGTCTGCCGGAAGTCGGAGCACTCATTGATACGGTGTTTCGGTGTCTGGAGGTCGACGTCCGTGTCGACATCAGCCTTGTCTGCTCTGAGTGCTGCTGAGATCAGGCTAGACCTCCCTCCACGCATCATATACGGGCCACGAGGCAGAAATCCTCTCCTGGTCGCGTTCATTACCAGGCCACAGGATCCGAAAGTACATTATACTCTCCCAAGCATTAGATCAGCAATGTAGCTTAGAGCAAATGGAAGTACGGTGCTTAACGACGCTGTCTTTAAGGACTTGACTTCCTGGTGTGAATGTTTAACATCGACAAGCCAGCTGCACATTTTAGTGTGACTCAAGACGCGTTTCGCAATCTTGAGTCTCGCATATGCTCATTACCGCCGTTCATCTGTTCTTATTGCTAGCGCTTTGGATGTTTTTGGGATACGTTTTGACGTAAAACATTGCCCAGTATAGAACCAAAGTGTTGTGTTGTCCAGTTTCACCTCTGTTTCATTAGACCGAACAATTTTTTAGTGCAATACGGATGCATGTGCGCTAAAGGAAAAATAAAGACACCATAAACATTCATGTCCATGTCCGCGCCGTCAGTTATGGCCTCGGTAGGCACCTCACGGTCCCACGCGCCATACCCTATGTTAGCCGAACGCATTTAGCAGAGAAAGATGCAGAAAAGTATCTATGACAAAAATGTATAGCATCATCTTTTTATATTAAGTGCCTATCAGAGTTATGTCTATGGCCGCGGCTCAGGATAAGTGGCATGTCTTCCGCAGACATGCCGCCTTTCTCAAAGCTTCGTATTGTTCTCCATGCATGCCTCGCGCACCGGCGGGCGGAGCGTTTCGAACACGTAATGATTGATGACAATGGACAATGGCTGTTGACGCCACCCTTCCGGTGGCGTCGTCTTGGGCGGGAACAGGAGCCCGCCTAGTCAGCTGTCATGGGACCGGTGAAACTCGCTCACGCCTGATGAAAAATATGTCTCTCAGCATACACACGTGACTTGCGCTTAGAGGCTGAGCCTGGACAGATGTTGCGCTTGCGTCGAATTGATTTAACATAGCAAGTAATAAGTGTCACGTTCTACAATTGATTCTTCCTTTGTACTTCCGACCCGATGGAAGTGCGAAGGTTTTTATTCGTCGTAACACTGTGGGTTGTCAGGCTACCTAGCCCTGGTCGTAGAAGTTTACAGATGGCGACTCGCAGCAGACTGGAGACACAGATAGACAATCTCTCGAGACTCCAAGCTACTGATGCGGACAGCCTCCACCACCACACCACCCCTTCACCTGACTTTGGGCAGACGGGATCATATCTTCCTCGCTCCAGGCCCAGGAAGAATCCAAATAGACCCACGTTCTCTCTCTCTCTCTCTCTCTCTCTCTCTCTCTCTCTCTCTCTCTCTCTCTCTCTCTCTCTCTCTCTCTTTCTCTCTTCTTCTCTCTCTATCTCTTCTTCTATCTCTATCTCTTCTCTCTTCTCTCTCTCTCTCTCTCTCTCTCTCTCTTCTCTCTCTCTCTTCTCTCTCCTCTCTCTCTCGCTCTCTCTCTTCTCTCTCTCTCTCTCCTCTCTCTCTCCTTCTCTGTCTCTCTCTCTCTCTCTCTCTCTCTCTCTCTCTCTCTCTCTCTCTCGTCTCTCTCTCTCTTCCTTTCTCTCTCTCTCTACTCGCTCTCTCTCTCTCTCTCGTCTCTATTTCCTCTCTCTCTCTCGTCTCTCTCTCTCTCTCTCTCTTCTCTCTCTCTCTCGCTCTCTCTCTCTCTCTCTCTCGCTCGCTCTCTCTCAACACTCACATTCAGGCATCCCATTACTGTCGGCGCGTTATGCTGGAGAGTCTAATGTCCGAATGAACCAATCATGTCTGAGTTAGTGCGCCGTAGATGTGATGACGTCAGTTCCATTGATTAGTGAATGCCAATTCGCCGTGTTGCTTTAGAGGGGAAGTGAAAGGACTTCAGGTTGCATTATATTATGGGGGACACGTGACCTCCCTGTCAATAGGAAAACTACGAGCCACTGAGCAATACAGACTACGGCTGGTTGCAGTATCACGCCATGCTTATCGCAAACGTCACGAGGTGCAAAAGCCAACGACACGTTATTATGAATCAGGTACGACAAAAGAAACATTCGTATTTCTTGCGCATGTGCGTGAGGCATGCTGTGAGGAGTAAGCAGGTGTCCATCGCGTCAGACACAGGATCATGCCAAAATGGCTACTTCGTGATTTACGTAGCAGCTCAATAAATAGAGACGTCGGACGTATTTAAGTAATGAGAAGACATCTAAGTTCATTTTCACGCCTGTGCTGTTCCGCGCTTTTGAAACGAATAAAAAATATTGCAATATACTGATGCTTTCTCTCGATAAGAATAAAAAAATACTTAAAAACGAACATAACCAAGTGTACCGATGTTAATGTATAGCCCATACGTGTCCAATATGTGGAAGGAGCCCTTACCAGCCGTCCATAAAAACATCATCCAGCTTTGTCGCCAGACATGTGTCAACCACATACCCATCGGAAGGTGGATGATTGACGGCATGCTCATTAGTCGCTCAATACGCGGGACTGTGCAACATAACTTGAGGACTGTTGGTGAAGACTGTTGATGCCGTCATACACTGACTAGTCGAAGTCGCGTGGCTGGAGTAGTGTAAGCCGAGCATAACGGTAACAACAAGATGCCCCCCGGATGTGCTCAGCCCAAGTCACTGCTGCGCACATAGTCTGACTCATTCGCGATACTGGTGTCAGAACGCCAAGAGCTTAAAATGGTTAGTTCTGTTTCATATCTCAGTTTCTTTTGAGCCTCCTTGCAATAGGAACACCACACGATTGGCGTTATTGACTTGTGAGGTTTCATAGCAGATAAGTAAAAAATTCCGACTGACCGAAGAGCAAAGTTAAAAAATGAGAAAGATCCGTCAATGAAGCATCTGTCTTACCTTATCATGCTTCCAACAGGATGACAGCACAAATCGACGTCCTACGTTGATTTGCTTGATCCAGTCTACACCATACAAAGTTGGAATGTCAGGATTAGATATTTCGCGCACTGAGAAAACTCTGAAAAATGGGTGTAACTTGACTGATGCCTAAACGCTTACCATTTCGGGAGTATTTTGACTTCGGTGTAAACCAGTGCACACAGTGCCAGAAATGACACGCTCGAGTCTGTGTCAGTGTTAGTTTAAACTAACGAAGAGTATTTTGATATTGGTTCAAAACCACAACGACTTGTGAAACAATACCCACCGTCGAATATGAGTCATTGTGAGACGCCGCTTACGCAGTGTTTTTTAATTCACAATTCAACTAGGGTAAAATCAAACTGCCAATAAAAAGACACCGTCATGGTATGACTTCACAGTGATGTCAGTGTCCGGCACACAGTGACATTTCGTACAGCAGTTGGATTTTTCCCGAAACCAAAAGACTGCGCTAGCGTAAAATGACAGTGACAGAGATTCAGGCGTGAGGCGTAACACTGGTGACACTGTTTTACACCAGATTAAAAATAGAGATATAGGGGAATGGGGCACAAATTACACCCACGCTCAGAATCAATCAGTCATCAATGTTGTCGTACCGTGATAGGAAACACCAGCCATGAATGATCGGATTTATGGTCGGGAAATTAATGTGTGTGTTGTTTCATTTCCATACCCCCGCCATGAAGAGTCGGAATATACAGTTCCGCGTTGCAGTTAAAATACTTTTCACGTTGCGGATCTAGCATTAATAAACACCATTTGTAACATAAAACGCTTGATACCAACGCGATGATACTTGTAACAAACACGATTAATACCACAAAATGCTTAACACGAGTTTTTCCTATCTTTGGGTCCCTCTACTCAAAGATAGGGGAGTGGCTGTAGCCGAATTTGGGGAAGGAGGGATGGAGCCTCCCACACTGAATAGGGAAAACCAATCCTGGCGCAACATCACCCACATGAACATCATCAATAGCGTCAGTCAGCCGTTGATATGCTGGGTTTTAATTAGCAGTATTGTAGCTGAGCACGTGCACATAGCTTCCAAACACCCGGAGTTCGATTCTCTGAATTGGAGCTCATGTTTTCGGCGCCTGTAAAATGAACAATAGCATTTGCTTGCTACTATACCACACAACATGGTCCTACACAGCCGGAATGTGGAGTTACGACGGCTCAAACTCTAG